TTTGGTAGCATTAGTACGAACGTTGGTTTCGTTTTCTGTTCTTAATCGTTTCTTATTCGTTTCTTATTCGTTTCGTTCGTTGGAGCAAAGTGACATTAGAGAAGGAGAAAAAAAATTTTTCCCCCTCAAATGTCACTTTTGCTGCAAACGAACGAAACGAATAAGAAACGAATAAGAACAGAAAATGAAACGAACGTTCGTACTAACGCTACCGAATTTCGTCCGAATCCGAATTCCGAATCCGTATTGACTTTCACACCCGAATCCTGAAAAACGAAATAACACATATCCGAATTTGAAACGAAACGAAACAAATTTTTTGGCAGTGCACATGTCTAGTATTTAATAAATGCACACATGCTGGGGTCTGGGAGCAGAACTGGGACCAAGAAGAATCTGGACTGTATTACATTTACAAGAATATGACTAAACACTTGTTGCAAGGAGTGATTTTCACTCATCCTCATAGTTAGAACCGACATGTTACAAAGAAACTGTCACACATCGGCTTTATAGATAGGCAAGTGAGCGAACACATACCATCGCTCGCTCACTTTCCGATAATCTGCCCGCAGGGATGCCCCACTCCCCTCTCCGATAACCCCGCGCTGACTGGAGGATTGGACATCAGCTCTATTGATCGGGAAGTGAGCAAAAACATACCGCTGATCCGCTCACTTCCCGATCATCTCCTGCAGATAGAGGTGACTATCAGTCATCGTTCCACGCAGAGATTCCCCATTCCCCTCTCCGATCCACCAGCGCTGACTGGAGGAACTGACGGGGGATGGGGCAGGCACAGCTGGCTCTGCTTCTAGATAGGGAGAGCCCGCTGTCAATCAGCTAGCTGGGTGGATATCTGAAGTATTGTCGGGATCCGTCCCGCCTGCGGCGCACTCCGTATATATAGCTCGCTATATACTGAGCTTTGGGTCATTGGAGGACGTCAGTATATGTCCTCCTGTGACTCTTAGGAGAACTATGGGATGAAAATGTTACATAGTTCTCTTTTAAATTAAAAGTCTTATTGTATGATTTATAAGGTAGTGCAGAACAAATATACCAGTACGTGATTATATTAGTAAAATCGTTATTGCATTTAGATTGCATGCCCCCACACACTTGCTGCATGTGCATTCTATGTATAATATATATAGATGCATTTGTTAAAAATTCAATGCACAATGCAGCAAGTGTTCGAGGACATCCTATGTAAATGCAATATCGATATTGCTAATACCGGTACATTTGTTCTGTACTACTTGCTAAATCATACAATAATACTTTAAATCCTAATGTTTTATCAAATAGTACAGAACAAATGTACCATTATGTGGTTAAATTAGTAAAATTGGTTTTGCATTTACATTGCATGTCCCCAAAAACTTGTTGCATGGTGCATTGCATTTTCAACATACGCATTCTATAAATAATGTAGATGTATGGGTCAAAAATCTGTGTTGTAGAGTTTATTGCGTTGCAGAGTCCTCAGTTTATTGCGTTGCAGAGTGCTGAGTTTATTGCAATATATATATATATATATATATAGTAGGGATGCACCGATACCGATACTAGTATCGATATCGGTGCCGATTCCGAGTATTTGGGCAAGTACTCGTACTCGCCCAAATGCTCCGATGCCTAGAACGAGTACTTCACGGCGCATCCCTGATTTCTTTCCTTCCCGCTGGGCACTGCTCTGTGTCCCAGCAGGGAGGAGAGAAACTGTGATAGCCGGCCGAGCGAGCGCTGTGGGAGGAGAGCGCTGTGAGCGGCCAGCGTCTCTTCTCCCACACCACTCAGCCTCCTATCACAGTGAGGCAGATCGGTCTGTGGGCGGAGACAGGCCGCGCTGTCACAGGAGGCTGGGCTCTCCTCCCTGCACCGCTTGTTCAGCCTCCTGTGACAGCGTGTCAGAGAGGAGAGCAAGGTACGAACACTCAGCGATCAGTGATCGCTGAGGGGTCTATTCACGAAGCAGCCGAAGGATCTAGCCGTAGCTTCGACTGATCTTTTGGCTAGCTTCTGTCCCAGGACCCCTTCGGTTCAGTAGAACCGAAGGGCTGCTGTACGGGCTATTCCCTATAGCCCGTACAGCTGCCGAAGTCGGCCGAGCGGCTCAGTCAAGCCGAAGGCATATGCTTTGGCTCGACTGAGCCGATGTGAAAGCCAAAGCTGGCCAAGCGGCCGGCCATTGGCCAGCCGACAGCCCGCTTCTGACAGCTGGGCGGAGCCAGCCGTGATCTTACGGCTGGCTCCGGCCACTTGCAGAGAGATCAGCGTCCCTGGTTACCAGCTAACCAGGGACACTGATCTCCAGACAGCCCAACTGTCCCGGGCGCTCCGGGAGTCTCCCGTTCCCGGCCACCCAGGAGAGAAACACTGCTTTTTCTTTTTCTTTTTATTCTGACATGAAGCCGTTTGCTGTCGTCAGAATTAAAAAAAAAATCACCATAGGAATGCATTGCTAGATTCCTATTGGCTATTTCAATTTGCAATAGCCAATAGCAAACTAGCAATGCATTCCTATGCCAAAAAATATTTTCTTTTTTTGACGGCAGCAGAACCGCACAACCGGTTTCTATTTTTTTTACTACTTTTTTAACTTCTTTTCTGTTCTGCCCGGTCCGGTGGGCGTCTCTCCTCCTACAGTGCTCAGCCTCCTGTGACAGATTAGGAGAGAGGTGTGGGGGCGGAGGCAGCTGTCACAGGAGGCCGGGCCAGCGGTGCGGGGGAGAAGTCAGCTGTCAGAGGAGATCAAGCTCTCTTTCCCATACTGCTCGCTCAGCCTCCTGTGACAGCGAGTCAGGTTGGAGAGCGGGTACAATCACTCAGCGATCGTTGAGTGTTTGAAAATAATTGAGGACATGTGATGAAAATAATTGAGGACATGTGATGTGAGCTGAGGAGAGAGGATAACTATTTGGAGCAACCTTTTAGAAGGGTCTTGCCTCTCCTGGGATTTTGACTGTAAATTATGTCACAGTGAGGAGGTCACTTTTTCTTAGGGCCTGGCCCTAAAGGTGGCTACCCAGAGGGAGCATCTCTAAGAGAAGCAAGAAGGTGGCTACCCAGCTAGAGCAACTTCAGATGACTCTGCTATCCTAAAGAGTGTCTAGGAGAGATTAGGGCTTTTGCTAGATAGAAATTGTACAGTATGTAGACCCTTATTAGTCAACATTTTAAGGAAGAGTGGCTGCTCTCATACATAGGGTGGCAAATCGAATTGGCTGCTTCTGCTCAGAGGGTGAGTTACTATTGGCATGCTGCTACTAAAAGAATTAAGGCCAGCAACCATACTGCTGCAGTAGACAGTAACACCTCTCTCTTATAGAGTCACTGTACCTATCTGACTGCTCCTAAAAGGCCACTATTAACTTAGCTGCTACTAGAAGACCTAGAACATTTTGTTATTTGTGGGTATACTGTGCCCCTAACCCCTGTCTCCATGAGTCTATTGCTTGAATAAACTGCATAAAAGACTAAAGTGAAAGGTGCCTAACTTGTTGTTTGACCCCCACAAAAAGAAAATGATATCCTGCCTCGTCATATTGGAGGTCATACTGGGGGGTTGGGGGCTCTGCTACAACATCTGACTTTCAGATTCCATTTAATAAATGCTTATGTGATTTAGCTTGATTCTAATGTTAACAGTTACAGACTCAGTATGTAATATCAAAGATTATCATGGGGTGTGCAGCTAAATTCCAGCCACCTATGCAGCTATTGGTACCGTGAGCGGTTGTCCTCACACCGCATGCAGGTACCCACACGGGAGGACCAAAAGCATGACCCGACACTGCAAATGAGCTTATATATGGTTTATTATGCACACCAAAATAGATAAACACAACCAAGTAATAGTGGCTAACTACATCTAAACACAAACACATGCAAAAAGTAACAGGCTAGTAAACCCGGGGAGCAAAGTGACACCAGGGGAGCTAAGGAACAAAAGGTCAAGGAACAAGGAGGTTACAGGACTCAGGACTCACAGGAAATGGCGACAGGATACCGAGACAAAGTCCAGACTGCAGGGAGGGATTTAATACCCCCCCAGGTCGTGATTAATCGCTGACAGCTGGTAGACACCCACAGGTGAACATTAGACCCGCAGGTCCCAGCACCACTTAGTGGGGATCTGGTACCTGACAGCTCCTGGCTGCCTGCAGGTGAGCGCAGGAACTGCAGGACCTGGGTCCAGCGCCACCTGGAGGTGCTATGGTCCCTGACAACAGCTAATATGAGTGCTTCTACTCATGCTGTTGGTGGGGCTTAATTTTTGGCTGCTGATGCATCTAATCAGTGGAGAGGAAAGCTGCAGTGCAGGGGTGGAGTTGTGTAAGCTGTGCGGCTTCTACTTTTAAGGGACCACTGGCTGGACTAAACATACTCCTCACTGAAAGTCTTTGGTCCCCAAAGAAGCAGAATTTGTAGTTATAAATAAACCAAACTGAATTCAACACTTGCATGGAACATTTGCAAATAACCACTGTTAAGAAAAGGTGTAGGCAATGAAACTTTCCACCAATGGGTATCAGGTTTATATGGGAATAATGAACTGCCCCTAGTATAAGTTGTGGGCAAAGGGACTTTCCACCATGGTGTGTTAGGTAAAGAGTAGGGGGGTATCATTCACTGGCAAGGTGTCTTGATGTACTTGTGCATTGTCAGGTCTGAGTACTGTGTTGGTAGCCTCTAAAGAGCTGTTTCCCCTAGAGTCATATGTCATTCTTATGGCACATCGAATCTGTTGCTTGCCTCTTAATATTCCGGGTTTGGGTGTCTCTTTGACAGAGGGTTTCACTGTACCTCAGTGTGAATAAGAACTTGTCTTTCAAAAAAATCCCACCACCCTGCCAAAACCTAATATTTTTAGAAAGCTTTCATTTTTGATCCTTTGAATAAGCCAACAAATGCTATAATGCTACAGTATCTCTAAACTTTCTGCTAAAATATTTTGAAGTACTTTTTTATTAGTTTTAAAGATAAGGAATTACCTGCTTGTGCTGCTGTTATGAGAGCAGTATTCCCCTCATTATCTTGCCAGTTGACATCAATGTAAGGGCATTGAGATAACGTGATCACTATATCCACATAGCCTTGATAGCATGCGACAAGTAGGCCCGTCTGTAAATTCATAATGAAATTAACCTCAGTTATGCAGATAGAGCATAGGTTCTAAAAAAAATGACTGATGGATACTTGATGGATTTTTTTTGCTACTAAAATACTCAGAACCTCATATTAATCTCAGAGCTGAATGACTCAGAGAAAAGAAAAATCTCCCTCCTTGTCTTTAACCACTTCAGGCCATTTTTCAGTGTTCAGCGCTGCAGTACTTTGACGTTTATTCCGTCATGCAACGCTGTACTGAAATTAATTTTAAGCCATTTTTTGGGGAGAGATAGAGCTTTCTTTTGGTGGTATTTAAACACCACTGGGGTTTTTATTTTTTATTATAATTAGGAAAAATTACAGAAATTTTTTTTTTACATTATGTTAGGAAACATTTATTATTACCCAGTTTTTTGGTAAAATATAAAAGATCGGGTCACGTCGGGTAAATAGACACCAAACATGTCAAGCTTTAAAATTGCGCGCACCCGCGAAATCGCAGAAAACTAACATACCCAAAATTGGCCAGAGAAGAGCATTTACAGCTTATCAGTTTAGTGTTATCAGTTAACGTTCGCGGCGATATGTAACATGTGCGGGTTAAGGGGCGCAATCGTCTTTTTTGCACGTATGCGCCCCCAACGCATGTTTGCATGCGTGTATGTATGGGTGGGGACTTTACATTATTTTTTGTTTTTTTATTCTTTTTTATGTGCAACTTTAAAAAAATTTTGGGGGGGGAACTTAATTTTTTTGTGCTTTTTTCACCCCCACTAAACTTTATTGCTGTCACATACGGGGGCTAATAAACCCCACCCCTATGTGATAGCAAAATATGTGACAAGTCCTCTTTATGGCAACATCAGGGGTCTCCAAGACCCCTAATGTCACCTAGGCCCCCCCAAAAGAAGCTGATGAAGCACAGATCTGCTCCATCAGCTTCTTTCCAGCTTCTGAAGCTTGGGAGTGACACAAGAATGCGGAAGTGATGTATTATACAACACTTCCGCATTCTTGCAGAGGAGAGGGGACCGAAGAAACATTCAAAAATATTTTAATAAAAGTATTAAAAAATTATTTTCCTTATAGTTCCTTTTTGTTCCCTCACCCTTCAATATCCAATTAGAGATATGCAATCTCTTTGTTAAAGAGGAATTTCACTTCATTATACTTCATTACATTTACAGGGTTATTCACTAATGGGTAAATAATTTGAAGAAGGCAGGAGAAGTGAACAATCTAGGCCAAAATAGCTTCTCCAAACTCTTCACCCTTTAGTGAATAACTCTGTTAATCTTTCTAAGAAATATCAGTGTATAAACCCCCCCCCCCGCCCCAAAAAAAAAACATACTAGTCCATGGAGTCCAACATTGTCTTCATTGCAGCTATAGTTCTCCAGTCACCGGTATGCTACTGTGCTGATACCTTGAAAGTTCTCTTTCTGGCTTCACGGTTCATGTGTAGAGACTTCGCTGGTTTTTGAGGCAAGTCTGCATATGTGTGGGTAATCCTGCACTTGCACAGAAATGCTGCAAAACTCTGTCAGGTCCAAGACCTATGGAGTGTCTGCACATGCACAGGATTCCCCTTTAATGTGCAGACATGCTGCAAAGGCTTTGCCAGATCCCACAGATCTGTCAGAGAAGTGTGGCATTTCTGCACATGCACTGCATTGAAATTGCGTGATACTTTGTCCCACTGCCTCATAGGATCTGTAACATTGACATCCCAGGAGGCAGCAGCTGGGCGATTACATCATCCTCGCCAAGGAAGCGTGGGGGTTGTAAAAGAAGAAAAGGTATTTAATATGAAAAAAAAAATACTGCAAATGTGTAAGAGGGAGTGAGAAGGAAACAGAGGAAAGTTATTTCTTTCTATGAGTGAAGGTCCGCTTTAAGAAGATGATATTTAAAAAAATCTTATACATAGTATTTTGACCAGAAGGGCATGCAATTCTTTCTACATTTGTAGCTACATTTTACTTTTTACATTGTCACTGTCATTTTTGAACAAATGGTTTAAACAATGAAAAAAAGTACATGATGAAAAAAGTCTTCAAAGATGGTAACTAGATAAAAAGTATGACTTTATTTTCCCTGTTATTAAATAAAGCACTGCTTTTGGCAGAATGGGGTTAAATAATAACAAAATGTCCCTAACACAACAAGGTGTTTAAGTAATTTACCAGAGATGTTAGGGTCCCCGCATTTTCATGTCTTGTTATTGTGGACCCAAAGTTTTATGATTAATATTTTATTAAATATCATAATTAAATTGTATGATTTTAGACTAAGGATTGACTGGGGATAATAATGTATACAGTACTGTATTTCACACATAATATTGTGTGCATCATATATTTATACTATTGAGATGGAGATTTTAGTACCCATTGTATTACTTTCCAATGTCATTAAGGAGTTGTTGTCCGTTGTACACCTTACAAAGCAATGAAAATTTAACAGATCTACTCATAGGCTTCTTGATTTATGCTGGTAAATATTTATTGTGTGAAATATATGTGTCACAATAATGGTTACCTATTCTTCATGACAGAATTATTTTGAAGTCCAGTATGGACTGAACAAAAGTTTTCTTTAGGACCTCAGATAAGAACCAGTTGAAGCTTACAAGACTGGAAAGAGTTTAAATAGGACTCTTGAAAACCTGGAGATTCAACAGTCCACAGTTGGGAAGAGTGCTTACAAACGGAATAAAATAAGTACTTTTTATTCATCCTACTAGTGAGTGTCTTTAAAAAATAAGTGAAAGACAATCTCCGCAATCCTCAACCACAAGACTGATATTGTGACAGCTAAAGACCTTAGGTTAAGGAAGGTAGGGAGAAGAGGGTGGGGAGATAAAAAGAGGGACAGGGGGGATGGACAGAAAGAGCGGAAAAGAGTAAATAAGGAATATGTTGGGAGGGGTGGGGGAGGAAGTAGGGCAGGGAGACGGGGAGAAGGGACAAGTGGAAGCAAAAAAAAGTGAGATGTTGTGGGAGAAGTGGGAGTTGGAAAAAAAAAGTGGAAAAAGAAGAGAGAGGAAGGAAGGGCAGGGAACAGGAAAGGAATGAGGGGGAGGGGGAAGACGGAGAGAAAAGGACAGGAAGCAAATCAAAACGGGAGAGGAGGTAAAATATTATCTTCAATTATAACAGTGTGAAACATGCAATTCATAGTTTAATCCTTGTGGTATCCTTCTCTCCATATTAAATATCTAGTATACATCTCTCCGATTCGATAATGCCGTCCTATCTCCTCCTCTAACTGGTCCATCTACCCTCTCTGTGACACTGTAATATTACAAATCTGTTTTACCATCATGGAAATGTTTCCATTGTCTGGCTACACTGGTCTTCTTATTTGACTTGTCATTAGGGATGCACAGATACTTTTCGAGTACCAGTGCAGATACTTGGCATTTTCATGAGAACTACCAGGGTTGCAGCGGTTGCAGCTGGGACCGGGCTCTGGCACTCCTCCACTGTCCTGAAATCATTAGTCTGTAATGTTTTAGAAAAACTGTCACATGACTATAAACAAAAATGTATCAGTACTCGTACTTGTAAGTACTCGGCAAGTACCAGTACTCGTACTCGCAAAACTGGTATCTGTGCATCCCTTTATTTATATTTATAAAAACAAAATCGTACATTAAAACAGATATGTAAAAATCCCAGAAGCTCCGTGTGCTCCCTACAGATGACAGCGGCCTCCTAACTTTTGAATTTTTCTCTAGTGTAGTCTTGGAGCTCAAAAGTATCGGTACATGTACTCGTACTTGTACCGAGTACTGTACTTGGTATCTGTGCAACCCTACTTGTCATACATGCAGTCCCTTATCCTGTCACAGAGTCTACTTGTTTTACCCACATACTGTACTCTGCAAATCTTGCAAATATATATATATACATACACATATATACATACACACACACATACAGTATATCCTCACTATTTTGTGCTTGCTTGTCTTTCAAAAATGTCTTAACTTCATTATAAGCATTAACAATGATACCTTCTCTAAGTACCCACACCCGTGGGTACTTTGAGAACTAAGCCAAGTGATAGCGAGACCATTGAATTTATGATTGACATAAAGCAACTATTCTTCAGTATATTAACCAAGCTAACACCAACCCCACCCTTATTTTTAGTTGCTATGCAACCTTTGGCGGCAATTATAGGTTGGACTCGATGGACTTGTGTCTTTTTTCAACCTGACTATGTAATTAGCTTGAGGTGATTTACTCTCAATAATTGACACAGTGCTCTCGTCGTTTATTCCTATTTTACCAATATCCAAACAAAATAAATAAGTGTTTACAAAACATTTACCTACAATGTTACAAAATGCAGGTCCTTATTTAAATATATAGCTTATAACATACATAAGTCCTTATTTATGTATAACTTGTGAACACAAATAAACCAAGGTGATATTTGTTATAAAATATACTGTATGTCCATAATAAAAATCTTCACAGTGTCCAGAAATCCACACCAATGTGCTCCCCTCTCTGTGCAAATCACTCACAGGATGGGAAGTGACCTAGTAACTAGGGTTGGGCTCGATGTTCGAGCCGAACGTGAGTTTGACTCGAATATCGGCAGTACGTGTGTTTGGCGAACACACAAACTGTCAGGGTGTTCGGCAGGCTATTTGCTGCCGAGCACCCCGCACAAGGCACTGTGTCATGTGAGCCCTGATTGGCTAAAAGGTCATGATGACTCTACCCAAGCATGGCTAACCCTGTTACAACCAAATGTTTATATGTTACCAGCATCTGTCAAAATGCCAGGCGGTCGTCTGTTTTTTTTCATTATTTCTATTTATTTTTTATTGTTTTATTTTTTATTTCGTCGAATCATCGTGCAAGTACCCCTTACTCATTCACAAGGGGTATGCCCCTTAATTAAAGGGGTACCCTGATGTAAATAAGCCACCTGCCCACACAATGTTAATTTTTTTTTGCTTAGCTGCATTGCGTTCCGTTTCCGTTCCATTT